CGTATTTATTTGGGTTCAATTGAAATATCCGATCACTACAACATTTTTACTCTTTTACTGCATAATTTTAGCTGCATTTTTTCTTATGTAACTAAATTCATCATAGTACTCTCAATACATTCCATTTAATTACACTATTTAAAGTGTAATCTCATAAAAAAAATTGATAGGAGAAAAGCCCACAAAATAAAAGCAGCCAATTGCCCATGAGACCGCCTAATAAAAACCAAACAAAAGCCCCTTATCTTTTATGTGCTCAGATAAATTATATTCTTGAAAAATCCCTCTAGCTCTGCCCTGTTGCTTTCTCTTTTCATTGATTCCAGAAAATGTCAAACAAATGAAGAGTTGTGTCGCATGCGTAGTTCTAAACCTGTTCCTATATTTGAGCCTGCCTATGTCAATTCCCAGATGCTCTGCTCCGTACAAATTATTTGATCAGGATTCTACTGTGGGGTTTTTTTTCTTGAAAAATCACCTAAGTTTATATCTCTCTCTCCAGTTGTTCAGATAGATTATATTCTCTTCATTTTTTACCCTTTTTTGTCAGATTTTTCTACTCTCAATTTTTTCTAAGACAAGTAAATCTCTTTTTTTCCTTTCATCAATTCTCTTTTTCTTTTTTTGTCTATTAAGAACATACTCGGTTAACACAGATCTAAAGAAATCCTCAAGTGATTTTCTCAACTCTTTTGATTTTATGTTACTTTTCTTCATTATTTTTTCAAATCTATTTGAAATTTGATAGTTGAGAATTTTAAACAAATGTTGAATAGAGTTTTTTATTGTGTTTAGGCAAGTGTTCATATTCGATTCTCTAATTCTGATTTAGGAACTCACTCTATTTCTCCTCTCATTTTCTTTAATTTTAAGCATGATTTACGTAGTTCAAGTTTAGATTAGGGTTTCCTAAAACACTAATTAAGAATTTTGATCCCCAAAATTTAGGGTTGCTTAGGAAATATAGATATCAATATAGGGTTGCTTAGGGTTGTTGGTCTTTCTTTTATTGATTTGTGAGATATTTTAAAGTTGGATTTTCGTTTTCATTAATTTTCTCTTTCTTTTATTTTCTACTTGATTGCAGTTAATGTTTTCTATTTTGTCTCTTGTAGGAGTAACATGACTTTAGTTGCTTGAGAATTTGACATAGGTAAGTTTCTGTGCTTTTTCCTTCGATTTCTTTTGTGTTTTAGTACATGATGGAATTGACTTAAGGAAACTGTGTTATAAGCTCTATGATAGTGCTTATCTTCACCCAAATATAAAGATTTTATGGTGGCTTTATCTCACATCACTATACCACGCTTAATCAATCTCGTGGGTCAAAAGGTTTCATGATATAAGGTTCAAATAACCTCTAATGCTAGCATGCAATTGGCATAGTGTGAGAATAAATTGACTTCAAGAAAAGTTAAACCATTCTATTATGTGGCTTAATCATAAATAAATAAACTAAAGGAAAGGTACGCAAAAGCAATTTCTGAATTGAAATTAGATAATGAATAATATATTTGTCTAGTAATAACAAGTATAGTGCCTGGGTAAAGGGAAGGAGAAGAGGTGCAAGTCAAGTCAGCTTATAATTAGTAAGCTTTTAACATTAAACAACGTAAGTTGGATCGAGCTAGAAATGATAAGGGGGTCTTTCTCTTTGATCTAAGAATCTTTGTTTTCAATCAAAGATTGAAAGCTTATAATTAGTAATCTTTGGTTTTTTGACAGGAGCTTTTGCGTACAGAAGAGTGACAAGGTAATGGCAAGAAAACAACCTCAATGATAAAGTTTCCATTATTTACTGCATTTTGCTGCCTTTTCAATTATAATAGACAATAATAGGCAAACATTATTCTATAAACTTCGATGATCTCAGTTCTCAAATGTGTATGCTTGGTATGTTATTTTAAACGCTATCTAACTTTATATCTATCAATCTTTCCTCTTACTCGTGAAGCTCTCTTCTTTCTCTGGGTAGGCTCCATCAGCATGGAAGGTGGCAAGCTAGAATAGGAAGGGTTGCTGGAAACAAGGGCTTGTACCTTGAAACATTTAGTAAGCTTTTGTTCCTTTTTTCCTTCTCCTTTAACTTTTGGTTCATTGTTTAGAAAGTGCCATGTCTCAACATTTCTCATAATTGTTCAAGTAGTTCATTTATTATAGACTTTAAAGTTAATGATTCTAGGTTTCAGGATTGAATGCAGAACCATATATGATGAAATCAGATCTAGTTTATATTTAATTCTTGCATTAAGTTTTTTGAACTGTCCCACCGGTTCATGTCAGTGTTTCTTTTATTTTTCTTTCCCTTACAATCGCCTTTATATTGCTCAGCTAGGTAATTCAAAGGCATGCTTGATGAAATTGGCAGCTGGATTATAATTTTGTCCTTCACTTTTTATTTTTAAAATTTAATGCAGTTTAGCTCTCAATTCCCAAAGAATCCTAACTGTGGTATGCAATAATATAACTTATATTATTATAAAATTTGTTAATACCCCATTTTCTTTCTATGTTATATGGCACCTTTGTTACCCTTGCAATTGAGTTTATTTCTTTTATGCATAATATTTATATATTTTGGTTTAGTAATATTATTTTGTATGCTAACATTTATTGAATTAATGTCATCTATTGCTTCCATGTTTTACCTACAGTACCTGATTTTAAGACTGGATTTAGAAAGATTGGATTTATAGGATATCTAGTATACTTACTCTAGAATCATTGAGATAGCATGCATTCAGGCTATATTTGATTCATATGAGGTCTTATCATATATGTTAAAACATAAAAACACCTTTTGTACATAAATCTGGTTTAAAATGTTGTTAATGTCTCCCCCGGTGCATCTTTGAAGATTCTTTGTTTGGTTTGGTGGCAAGAACAAACCCGTCATCTTTGGCATCATTTGGACATGTGATGGGTGTTTTGAGCTATGCTTGGCTCCTTCTGATTACTAAAGGGTGAGGGAAGCTCTTTGGATCCTTATCATGGTTTTCTAATGTATTGTTCTCTGCTGGGAGCTTCCTTGTTTTTGATGACTCGTGATCCTAGGGGTCTCTTTTTTAATCTTCTGGTGGCAGTTTCTAATAGTGAAACGCAGCAAGGTCTTGAGGTCTGTTGATTTGGCTTTGTTTTTACTTTTGTGATTGGAGTATTTCTTTATTAACTTGCTTTTGGCTTCTGTTGTTTTTAATCTTCCTTTTCATCTTATCCTTGCTGAACTTGGCCACTTCATAGAGATTTTATTATAATTGTACAACTCTGTTACCACACTAATTTTTATGCCATTAAAGTCTTAGGCTAATAAGACAAAAGACTTGCCATGGCATCCATTGGTGATGGATTAATATAATTATGCTTTTTAGAAAAAGTATTTCCTATTATTTACTGTTAATTGGATATTATCTTGCTTTGTCTCATATTACATTATGAACTACATACAAATGAATATTATCTTGCAACTTAATCTTTGCAGGTAAGGAAGGCTGAGAACTACAATGTCAGCTGGTTTTGTTAGATTGGAGAATGGACAAACAAATATGTATAGAGAGGAATTAGAGAGAAGAAGAGAGAAAGAGAGATGATTAAACTTAGTTAAGGAAACCCCATGCTTTATATTATTTCTAACAGTTGAGAAAGACACCCTTTATATTTAATTTTCAATTCTTATTTTTTTAATTTATCAATTTTTAATTATTTAATTATAATATTTATAATATTTTATTATTTATATATATAATATTTATAGATGGATATTGATATTTTTATAATGTTATGATGAAAAAATATAAAAATGAAAATTTTTTTAAAAATTGAATACTGGTGAAAAGTATTTTTTATGAAATGATTAAAAACAAAAAAACAAAGAAAATTTTGATAACTTATCCAAACAATCAAATATATTAAAATTTCTTTGTAAATATTTTACACATAAACAATTTTCTTGCAGTTACTTTCCTATTACCAAACATAAAAAAACAAGACACTAGTGATGACAGCGGCCATCAAAGAACCCCACCCGCTAAATGCTGTTGGTTCTATGACACCCAGTGCAGCACCGTAGCAAAAACACATCAACAAGTATAGTGAGAACACAGTAAACATGATCCTCTTGCCAACGACGCTGAGGAGGGCCATTGTTAAGATCCACGCCATTATAAAAGCTACGTTGTTTGAAGCATAGAAAATAATAAACATAACAGGCTTGATCACTGATTTCCCCGCATGTTTAGTATCGGAACCAGCATCAGCCTGCAAAACACCACCCGGTGGGTTGAGAAGAGCTTGGTAAGTCATCGCTAGAATCAGTGCAAATACGACTAGCAACGCATTGATCGTATCAGGTTTCATATTCTCAATGTCACGTGTCAATTTGTTAAAGTATGACACCCTACGGAACCTTGAGGGTTGGTGTTCAGCACGTATCAGAATGTTCATACTGTCTCTGTCAAATACAGGTTGCCCTTGTAAGACACGCAAAGCTGTGAAGCCGCTCTGATTAACTGTATTGCTATCAACCTTCTTGCTTTCTATTAACAGTTTGATCATCTGCTTATATAAAATCCACAATCAATTGACAAATAAAATACAATACAATGCCAAATTAATTCTATTTTCTGTTAGGATGACATAAATGGTACCTGGGTTTGGTTATTTGATGCGGCTATATGCAGCACAGTGTTTCCATCCTTGTCCGTGAAGTTTAGGATTCTTCTTTGGTGTGAAATGGGAAGCCGTTTCAGTATGGCTTTGAAAGCTTCTAACTTATTATTTTGTGCTGCAATATGCAGAGCAGTCTCTTTTCGAATAGTCAAATCAAAGATACAATTGGGGCATTCCTCCAGAAATTTGGACAGAAGAGGAACATTTCCTTCTCTGGCTGCACAATGAAGAGAAGTGTAACCCTTCCTCCCTCTGACACGAACAAGATCTTTATCAATTGATAGGAGATCATCCACCACCTTTGTTCTTGCATATTGCAAGGCTAGATGAAGGGGACAAAACCCGCGTTTGTTCAGCTTCCTAGCAAATGATGGCTTTAAGTTCATCATCTCTAATGAAGGCTATCTTAATTATTGATTCTAATTTACCATGATTACTATTTCAATTGATATGATTTGATTGACTTGGCTATTCTAATTGATTT